GTGTTATATTGCAGAGTGTGTTTACAAGAAGGAGGGCAGTCGTATTCAATCTGATGTGGAGGAACTGATTACTAAGTCTAATCAAAATAAGTTCTAGCTAAATGAATCGAAATGTAAGGAACTACGGATTTCGTTCGCTAAATCAGCCGCAGACTTTGCTCCAATTGTTATCAACGGGAAAGCAATAGAGGTAGCGTCTACTGTTAAGTTGTTAGGGCTGAACATTTCTTCCAACCTTCGGTGGAACCGCCATGTTGCTGAAATAAGTAAAAAAGTAGCGAGTCGATTATATTTTCTTAAACAACTGAAGAGAGCGAATATTCCCGCCAAAGACCTGCTAATCTTTTACATGACTTGTATCCGCCCAGTAATGCAATACGCATGCCCGGTGTTTCACAACGCGCTTCCCTCATACTTATCTGTTGAGTTTAGAACAGCTACAGAAACTCGCCATGCGATTTATTTTTCCGTTTGTTCCATATAGCGACGCATTAAATCAAACCAACTTGGAGACGCTCTCCCAACGCAGGCAGTCTATCACAACTAAGCTTTTTGATTCCATCTCTTGTAACTCAGACCATAAACTGTATAAGCTCTTGCTAAGACAGTTATAACAACTGTGAACAGTAATAACAACTGTGAACTCAATCTGAGGGAAAAGAGGAAATTTAATGTTCACTCTGGCTAAGACGAAGAGACTCATGAAAACATTTATATATAGTAATTGTAGTTAATTTGTGTACGTTTTTCTTATAATTATTATATAATTATATATAATTATATATAATTATTATAATCATTAGATTTTACTATTGTAACGATTAATCTAATTCAGCTTTTGGCTGCGATTTTAATCATAATAAACTATCTATCTATCTTTAAGCTCAGGTGACATATTTCATGGACATTCTGTGGAAACATTCAACACGGCGATGAGAGAGCTGCTTTATGGGTTCCCCCAAAATCTGTTAGGGATAATACACTCGTTACCATTGGCGCCTCCTCTGAGGCTTTTTCAAATCGGGACTTTGGCTAACGACCAATCACATATTATGTACTAATGTATGACAGTTCCAGATCGAAAGTAAACTGTGTCCTTTGCATATTTTCTTTTTTCCTTTTTGGCTAAGTTAAGCCGACCAGATTTGGGAATCTGTGATAGAGGTTTTGGTGAGTGATAAATCACTGAGCATTCTTAATATCTCCTTGTTCTTATATTTTGGTAATATTAATATACTTTTTACGCTTGAGTAACACTGCCGAGTCTTGGCTGATAATTCATGGCGTGAATTCGAACGTTGGAAGTACATTTATTATTAGCATTTCGGTTAGGAAATCATAAGGGAAGGCTTCAAATTGTCGCCTTTTCCTCTCGATGAAGCGATCGAATGTGCATTCGCGATCAACGGAAGCTGTTGAAATCGCTTAGTTGATCAATCGATGTATGAACGAAGACAATACTCGTATGATCCGCCTGTGTATCATAATTTTTTTCATTGGGTTAATTACTAAAAAAGAATGGTTACTACGATTCCGAATGCCTCGAAGGGTGTTCGTATAATTGCCTTTGTCGTCTCAGATATTCAAATCACAACCATGATTTCGGCAAGATTTCCATACAACCCCATACATAAATTATGCGTGGAGTGTTGCAAAGAAAACTTTAGTCTTTAAGTCTTTATGAAATGGAATGCATAATTATGTATAGGGTTATATGGAAATCATTCACATCAGTCAATCATTAAAATAGTCATTAGTCATTAAAAATTACAATACATAAAGGTTGTTGTTGTTAAAAAAAAATCATAATAGGCGACCATGTGTTACGGTAGTAGTATTTTTTAAGGTGGTGGTAAAGGGGATTTGTTTGGTAATCAAGGAAAAAACAAAATGAAAACACAACAAAAGACATGTTTACACGGTTGTTGCACTTGCATGATTAGCTAGAATGGGACATACTATGAACTTAAGTCTTGAGTCAATAAAGGCAGAGTTAACAATGAAATACAAACTGCTCGTTGGGGACCCAACCGAGTCCCAAGTTCCTAATATGCTTTATAAATGTACCCTTGCAAGGCTATTCTTTCCAAACAGAGACTACAGTAATTTTAAGTCAGGCTCTCACTGAGAAGAGAAAGAAAAGTAAAGCATTAATCACTAAATTTGTTCAAGATGGAATCTGCTTTGGTAAAGTATCATCTCCATCTTCTAGATAAACGCGAAAAGCTCTTTCCACGGCAGCGACTCCGAAAAACGACTGCAAAACCTTCACCACTACTAGCTTGGCCGAGCTAGCAAAATCTTCGTAGTTCTCTCGCACGAACTCCACCATCCGCGACAGTTCGAAGTCAACAGCCACTACTTCTTCGTGCTCAAACTTATCTTTAGGACCCGTCGTGAACCGAGAGCCGAGTTGCTCGAACGTCAGTCGTCGCTCGGAAGCCACTCGTTCATCCGACAGGTCTACGTAACCACAGCAACCCCACTCATGTGTGTCGAACTTGAGGTAAACTGTTGTGAGGCAAAGAGCCTCGATGTCCCTATCTTTCAACTCTACTCGCAGCTCTTCTTCCAGTCCTCGCGCAGCGGTTTGGATCAGATCTACGTAAGATTTGCCGTTTTTGTAAATGTAGTCCTTGACTGAGGCACTTTCCACAGCCCCGCAGGTAAATTTTCCTGGGGTTGCCATTCCCTCTAAAAAGTAACATGGAAAGAAAAAAGAAAATTTATGAACGCCTAATCGCTAATCGTTGTGTCTACACTCATGAAATTTCCTGATTAAAGTTTGAGGGTTTATCTGCATTTGTACGAAGAATAGAAGAACGGGGCTTAGGCAAAAAAATGGCAATGTGAGACATGTTATGTAAACTGGCCAGAGCGAATTGGCGCTCGAAACGTAAGCTTTAGAATCTCTTTACGGTGCCTAATTCACTTCACATCATCAACACAGTTGATAATACCAAATTTTGGTTTCATACATATTGAGATTCATGCTGTGAAGTACTACCGTTCGTGTCTCTGATTGGACAAAAGATGTATTTTCACAGTCGTTTGCTTCCAATCTTTCAAATGTGCCGGTCTGTAAGAAAAAATCTCAGTATGTATGAAATAAAAACATACCATAGAAAGTGCGCACGGACGATTTTTATTCACTCGTTGCAATGCATTAAAAAAACTCACTCGTCACTTCGTTCACTTTCGCGAGCAACTGGCTAAGAAGAAAAGGTCTGCAAGGTCTAGGGCTTTAAGGCCTGGTCCGAGTGTAGAAAGTCGCCGTCGCTGATTTTTCCTTAACAAAAAAACGGAGTGGAGGATTTGAACACAATTGTTGCCCCCCAAGGGGGATGTCTAAGCTTCGAATTGATCGACGCATAATCATAGTTACGAAGGGTTTCGGCAAAGATCAGCGGTGTTATTGGCCGTTGCTAAACTACCTCCTTCTGACCCAGCCATATAGTGGCATAAAAAAAATATTATAGGGATTTTAATGGGGAAGTATCAGGGTTAGATGTCACTGAAATGTGCAGCATCCTTAAATTTAGCTGAGATTTCACGATCCTTTAACTCAAATTCTAAACTCGTGAATAGTTACAAAAATCTTTACAAAGGCCAAAAAGAGTGTGTGAACTAACTAGGTACCTCTATTGGCCCTTCTAGCAAAGATGAATTTCTGAGGTTTGTCCGCAGTTAGCACAGCAACATGGAGGCCAAAAGATGTGCTGAACACCGGATGAACCGTAGTCTTACACACAACAAACTCTCTTTTTTTAGAGTCTTCTAGGTTCCTCCAGATCTCCCGAACGGCTCTATGATGACAGTAGGTTGACTGTCCGAACATCAGTTGTATTTCTTGGCTCTCTTCTTCCTCCTCCCGGGAGGTGATCAATGTTTTGAGGGCAATGGCAGGATTGTCTTCAATCTTTTTGTCGATAGCAGCCTACACGTGAAAGAAAATTAGTAAAGAGCGGTGGCGGATCCAGGGACTGGGTCCGAATCCCCCTCAACCATCAAACATGTGCGCTTTTTTACCCGAATGCAAAAACCAAAATTCTTGAAACGACAGATCGCATGCTACCACACAACATGAAATGTTTTTAAACATTAAAATACCAACTTGTTTTGTAATGTCACCTAGCTTCTCTATAGGATGTAGTGGGTACGAGAAATTCCTGCGTTTATTGAAGCATTGTTTAGAAATCTCTATTAAAAGTTCAATTTAACATCTTATCAGCCGTAAGAACACTAGGATGTATCACGAGTCGGCCTTGGAATTTCGCGTCCTTAAAGAGGATAATGAAAAGAAGAATTTTTTTCAAACAATGCGGAGCTTCTTAAGTCTCATGTTACGGTATAATTCAATCGCCAGAAAAACACTATAATCCTATAAGCTCAACTACTTACGTGCAATCATGATTCTTACTTAGGAGCGACTCGTATAGACATTACAGCTGTAGTTATTTTCAATAACTTACTAATGAGCCCTCTATAAACTACATCTTAGCTCACCACTGCACAAACCCACAGTTTTCTTTAAAGTACTTTGAAATTAATTAACAGTCTTCTACAACAGTTTTCTCTCTTGGTAGAGCTTACTCTCGATAACAGTAGCCGACCGAGTCTCCACATAAATCCTCAAAGCATTCCGGAACATTCCAGAAGCCCACAACATAACCACCCTGATGTCACCACATCACAACAACAAAATCCAAAAAAGGTTCCAGATAGTTTCACTGGAGGCTCAAAGCATTCTCGAAATTTCTAAATACTTATTTTAAGTCACTCTCCTTAACACTCATGACCTTGATGTTTATTTCAAAAGTGATGAGGTAAGGAGAAATAATGGGGTGGTCACTCCTTTAAATCTTACATGTGACTGTTTCCTTTAGTTTACTTTGATGAACTCGTCCTTCAAATTTCCTGTGTTTGAAGCTGAGTCTTTTCGCTTCCCTATATTTTATTATACAAAAAAAAATCATATGCCAAACTCTGGTCTTCGTATATACCTGCCTGAAGTGCCCCTAATGCTCTCTGTACTTCTGTTCGTAAACCCACTCTTTTGGCACGTCGTTGTACTCCTCGTTGCCGACCTCTACCGCGCACAACAGACACTCCGGGGGGAATCCGTGCGGACGAACTGATGTCTTAAAATACCCTTCACTGGACTGTTGGTTCAAGAGGACAAATCAATCAAGACACAAATAGGATAAGATGGGGCAGATAACAGTAAGGTAGCTTACGAGCAGGCCTTCATTATTGGCGCCGTGGAAAGAGCGTCTCTTTGCCCGCGAGAAACTTTGAGATATGAATCAAAGCGGGTCTGCAGTTGGAAACCAATAAAAAATAGTTCCAGACCCCTCGCAGACCTCTCGCCGGCTCGCTTCAAACTCCCTCATGGGCGAAGAAATGCTCAGTGTTGGAAAAAAAAAAACCAAAAAAAAAACACAAATTGGCCAACTTGAAAATGAACTTTGTCCAAATCGAGTTCACAACAGTTAATTTGATACACCAAGGCCAGACTTTGAAAGTACCAACCCATCATTTGCTCTTCTACTAAATACAAAGATATGAGGATATCATGTACCACTGATAAAAATGGTAGGTGCCTAATTAGGCACCGACACAAAAAAACATCAATTACTCCTACTCCATTACCTCGTCCACTAAGCTCTCAGCAACAAAGATATAAGTGTTCTGTAGGAACCCGCAGGAGAAGAACTCAGCACTTCTGGCTTCAGTTTGGTACGGGTTGACATCACCTAAACAAAAAAAGGCCGTTATAAATGGCATAAATTAGTATCTTGAAATTACACTTTTTCAGCTCTCTTTTAACAGCTCTCGGTTAAGTACGTGTTAAAGGTTAAAAAATTATTGTTTAGATGATGAAAGGGATGTATGCGTGAGATAGGTAAAAACTGAAAACAGAACAAAACAAAACAAACAAAATAACAAACAGAACAACAAAAGAAATAGAACTAAACAAAAAAACACACACACACACACAAAAATTTTGAGCCAGGCAACAAAATTGATCTAATCCAGTATATGACGAATACGTAAAGACAGTGAAGAAGTTTTGCAAGCAACAACTGCCAGTGAGAGCAAATAGAACTTTTTTTTTAAACTTTACCACTAAAATACTCCAAAACCAATTGGTCAGCAGTGGGTCTCTTCGCAGGATTTTCCAAACGACAGTCCTCAACAACTTTCCTCAGTACACCGCCAAGTTCTTCAGGCAACTCCACTCTGTCCTCCTTCTTTATCAAGTTGTTTTGAATCCCCTGTACACTGACAGAGTTCCGACCCTGCCACGGCATGTTGCCTGTCAAGGTGTAGGCTACCACTTGAGCATACGAGTAGACATCAGCGCGCAGATAGAAAAGCTCATCATCCAAGCTTATGCACTCTTCTTCAACAGTTTTGTCTTCCGTTGTGTCGGTCAGTTCTGGATGAAGAAAAGAATAGTTCATTTCAAATGCTAACACACTCAATCGGGTTGAAGAAGCCAATTCCTTACTTTTTCCAATAATTCACTTACCTACATGATGACATCTTATATGAATAATATACTTCAAAGACCCTCTCATTTATAAATTTATTAATTACTTGATTTATTGATTCCTTCAGTTTCCAATCAATAAATTATTTATCTTTACAGCATTTACAACTAGTTTAAATTTATTAACATTGTAATGAAACTGCCCCCTGCCTATATGCCTGGTAGTTGAAGAACTTTTTAAAGAATTTTCGATGAAAAATTATTTCAAACTTCTTGAGAGTATCAGATTTTAAGAGATCTCAAGAAATTCCAAAAATAGAAAAATGTGGTAATAACCTCATCTGTAATTAGAATCGATAACTGGACTAACTGACAACTATGTGAAATCTAATTAATTGTTAATTCCAAAACAATTTTCATGCCTTTAAGTTTTACCTTCTATATTATACTCATCATCTATGATGTAATCATCCCACACTTCAGGTGCTGTCCACCGTGCATGGAACAAGGACAGATCATTACCACTCCTCTCAACTGTTCTTGATAAACCAAAGTCTGCTAGTTTCACTCGTAAGCTTCTGATTTCCAACTGGATAACATAATTTAATAGATATAAAGGAATACTAATGATGGTATTTATTGAGTGTCCTCAAGAAGTAGTGAATGACGAATTGAATGAATTTGCTGCTTAATCTAATTGCATAAAAACAGGATGGTCTTGCATCAAGGTTTATCAATCTTTTTTGAAATGACTTTTTTTTTTTTCATCTTTTGCAAAAAGTTCTTGAAACATTAATAAAAATCCAGTAACTTTATAAACCCTTGGTTCTTTAATTGCTGTACATCACACATCCAACTAATTATAAGTCAGTCAAATTTAACTCATTTGCTCATATTTTTTTTCATTTTCATTTATTTTAATATATCTTTAATTTATCATTTCCTTTTCTTTTAATACATATAATATAAAGCTGTTGTCTTCAAAATACAAGCATGATTTTTTTCTGATAGAAGTTCTTACTAAAACAGATGATTTCTGCTGGAATCTCACCAGTATATTGTCAGGCTTTAAATCTCTGTGGCTTATTGGAGGATCTAAACTGTGTAGGTACATCAAACCATTGGCCATTCCTCTACCAATGGTCCACACTTGACTTTTAGGAAGTCCCTGAGACTCTGGAGTTTTGTGATCCTCTACAAATCTATACAAGTTCTTAGGAATGTATTCCATGACCAGAAATGGGCATCCTGCTTTGAGGGTGAATTTCTCAAATGAGACATCTCTCTCCAAAATGTTCATTCCTCTAAATGCAATAATGTTATCATGCCGAAGATCTCTGTGTATCATAAAAATAATTTTAACTAAGCAACGGAATTAATTTTTCCAAAAATGTCTTTAACTTTGAGTAAACGTAACTGAGAATTATAACTTTAATAATCTGGCTCCAGTTGTTCAAAGGGCGGATAACACTAACCAACAGATAAATTGCTATCCAGTGGATAAGTGTTACCAAAATGTACTGCGCTATCCAGCAGATAGGATTATTTATCCAGTGTATAGTGTTATCCATCCTTTGAGCAACTGGGGCCCGATATTTAACAATAATTCCACAAGTGTGCATTATTTTGTAAGAATAAATAGAATGTTATACAACAAAACCACTTTCTGTTAGCTGGGTTCCCTGTTTTTTGTTTTCCCGCCTTTTATGGTCACATGACTGCTGTCACTCAGGAATGTTCTGTGTAATGAAATTGTTTTGGTCAACTGCTTGGTAGTTACATTTGTCCTTCGTATATTTCCTTGGTTTTGGGGATTCATTCGAGTAATGAGGTTAAAGAAACAATTGAGAAAACCATCAAAGAGGAATTTGGTCATTTCACTTTCGTTTAGCTCGTCTTCATGCACACACATGCAGGTACATTATAACTCATGACCATGATGACTAAGCAAATGAAAACTCTTGAATTGCTTTATCTGATGATCCAGTTTGCAATAATCAATATAATAAATTATAATAAGTAAAAGAATAGTTAAGGGAAGGCCTAATGGAATTATACATTGAAGTCAAGTCGAGAGGTCAGTGTGTTTTGTTCTTGGAATGAGCAAAACACTTAACTATCACAGTGCTAATCCCTCCAACCAGGATTACTGTTAAATGGGTAGCAGCAAATTCTCAAGGAAGCCTGATAAAGGCTTGCAATGGACTCGTATCCCATCCAGGGGAGTGCCTATACTACTAGGTCCAGTCGTTTGAAGGCCGATTAGCACTAACCCAGGGTTAAATTGTAATCCAGGTTTCCTTATTTCTCTGTTCAAGAACCTTTTGGGGATAATTTTCCCTATTCTTTCGAGAGCATCCAATCATCAAATTGCAGACAAAAATAGTCAAATTGAACTTTCTTTTAAAGCTTTGAGATCTAAAGTCAAATTTCATGCTAACCCTAGGTTATCTTAACCCAGCTTTGAACAATCCAGCCCTAGTCACTTCATGTTTTAAGAACCAGGCTCCGGTTGTTCAAAGGGCGGATAAACCTATCCAATGGATAAATCGCTATCCAGCGGATAAGTGTTACCAAAATGTACTGTGCTATCCACCGGATAGAGATTTATCCAGTGTATAGCGTTATCCATCCTTCGAACAGCCAGGGCCAGGACATTAGCTCCAGCTCAGGGTGAGCCACTCTTAGCTCGAGTATAGACTAAAAGCATAAGGAAGACTGAAATAGAATTGGCATTAGTCAAACCACTCAACTTCACCAAAAGTTTCCTGGAAAGGTTACCAGTCTTTTATTAAGTTAATAATATTGACATTTATTATCCAACTACACTTCGTAGAGTACAAATAATGCCATAGACGAGTACAAATATCACGCGGTATTTGTACCGCGTTAAACAGGTTTTCTCGCATCGCACAAGCAAAGAATTGAATTGTAGTTAAGAAAAAAAAATGGCGGACGATTTGAATCATATTTCTGACGACGAAGAGTCAGAATGGCTGGCAAATATACATCCGTTTATTAGATGAATTGAACAAAGAAAAACAGCTAGATGACTTGGAAATTTCTTCATTTATTGAAGAAAAAAGAAACAGTAACATGACAACGCGCCAATTCCATTCTGCTTCGCATACTTCTGTCACACACTCCCCGTAAATAAATATCCACAAAATTCGCCTGCACTGAAATAACAGTTTGGTGTGTTGGATAATAAATAACTTATTAGACTTTTTGTTGTGTAGTATTGCTGAGTATTTTTACTTGTTATTTGTATTTTGACTCACCCTACGGGTTCGTCAATACGGCACAACTCATAAAAATACTCAGCAATACTACACAAAAAAATGTCTAATAAGATATATTTATTCAAGAAGGGCAAACACAGTCAAGTTTAAAAGCCACCTCAACAGATTTCCTTCTGTAAGCAGAGGTCTTGTTTCTTTAAGATTTTTTAACACTTTGACGGCAACATCATTCCCTTTAAGCTTAGCTTTATACACACTTGAGAATCCACCTTCCCCCAGCCTCTCCCATGCTTGTAATTCACCCTGGCTTACTTTACCAACAGTCCTCAAACCAGATGACTCTGCAAGGAAATTTTTTCAAAAGTACCCACCAGTTTTATTAATATACATCAAATATAGATTAGCAGCCATAAATATATCTTATTAACCAAGTGCGAGGGCCGTACTGGGAGAATATTGGCCTGACGTCTTGACAGTACGGACTGAGCGCAGCGAGGTCCGTACAAAAAAGACTGAGGGCTGATATTCTTCCAGTATGGTCCTGAGCAAGCTTGGTTAATAAGAGATTCATTATACGACTGAAGTTCAAAGGGACACAAGTGCGGTATCATTTGGGACCATTCGGGACAGTGCCCGGTCCAATACTTAGAGAATATTGGACCGGCAATAGAGCATTTTGATTGGTTGATTTTAGTTATTGGCCCTCTGACTGCCCGAGTCATGCAATAATTATTGTTAGCGATCCCTTTACACCCAAACATCAGAATGCACATTCTCCAAACCGTTCTCCAAACATTTCCATCCTCTCTGTGTCAATCAGTGAATTCACCTTTCACTTAAATCACAAGGCTTTACATTTATCATCTTTATTTCCATCTATCTTTGCACTCAAGTGTAATTGCCCATTTCCAAATTACCTTTAGCCCCTATTTTACAAAGCAAGTTCTGGTGCTCCTCCTTTCATATCAATGATTACAATTTATCTTTCACATGTTAATTAAACTCATTTTCACAAGAATGGTTGAGCATCAGGCCTTGTTATGGAAAAGATGCTGAAGGTAATTTGGAGATGGCCTATTCACATGCAGCATTAACCTATCCTAGTACCATGTGGGAAGTTTATCACAACGGACCTTAAGTTAAACAGTCTAGCCTGCTAAGAGTCTCCAACAGCTCAGAGGTAGGGCATCTGAAGTACAAGTAGAAATGGGAAGGTCATAACTATATGTGTGTCACTCACTGAATATATCATCTTTCAATTTCAAGGTCTTGACAAGAAGAAATTTGCTTGACAATCAAGAAATTCTTTAGTTGATAAACTTTTCAATCCTTTATTCTTGTGACCCTTACCTGTTTGATTCAGGAGTAATAATGCATATGTATGGAGAAATTAGATGCTTGTCACTCTTTGGGGTCAATAGGTTAATTGTAAGTGTAACAAACACAACAGTATAGAGAAGAATGCTTATATTTGAACAAATAGTATGTATAATTTAAAGAAATTTTCTATCTGCATCTACAAAAAGCTTTTATTTTTTACATTTCGAGACCGAGACTCCAAAGGGTTTTGAGTGCAAGCGCGAGACGTTCAGACTCTTAAATCGCGAGCCCCAGATTTGGTTGAGAGAAATGAGAATGAGCTAGAATGAGCTTGTACAAAAGTCTCAAAAGGATCCTTTGTGAGACTTTTGTACAAGCTCATTCAAGCTCATTCTCATGGCTCTCAACCAAATCTGGGGCTCGCAATTTAAGAGTCTGAACGTCTCGCGCTCGCACTCAAAACCCTTTGAAGTCTCGATCTCGCAATCTAAAAGTCAAAATGTCTCGGGCTCGCAAAGAAAAACGCTAGTCTCGTCGTCTCGCAAAGTCTCGCATTTACTATTCGCCACCTCTTTTAAAGGAAGCGACCCACTCAAATCAGACCTCACGTAAAACATACGAAGTGCGAAACGATAGTTTCAGTTTTCAACTGTAAAAAGGACTTAAACTAAGAGAAAAGCAAATGAAAATTATAGACAGGCATACCTTCATCGTTGCACGAGGCTTTTATCAAATCTATATTCTTGTTTACTTGAAGTAAGATGTGCCGAACTTGCTCGTTTGTTACCCAGTCACTTCCGGCCTCAAGAGAGCGAATTGCAACACAAATTTGTTTCTGAATTTCGGTCAGCAATTCCAGTCTATTTCCTGATTTTTCATTCAGGGACAAGTTTGCAAAATCCTCTTGGACATCTGCCATCGTACACTTGAAGGTCAGGTGCGATATTTCATGAACATTCTCTGAAAACATTCAACATGGCGACAGGATAGTTTGCTCTTGGGGATTCCCCTAAAGTCGGTTGGCGATATTACACTCGTTGCCATTGGCACCTCTTCCGAGGCTTTTCCAAATTAGGACTTTGGCTAACAACCAATCACATGTACTAATGCGACAGTTCGAAATCGAAAGTGAAGTCTGTCGTCTGCAACATTTTCTTCTTTCTCTTTGGCTAAGCCGACCAGATTTGAGAATCTATAATAGAGATTTTGGTGAGTGATAAATCGTTGTGCATTATTAATATCTCCTTGTTCCTATATTTTGGTGATATTAATATACTTTTTACGCGTGATAACACCTTCGAGTTTTGGCTGATAATTTAAGGCGCGAATTCGAACGTTGGAAGAACATTTATTTTTAGCATTTCGGTTTCTCTCAATGAAGCGATCGAATGAGCATTCGCGATCAACGGAAGCTATTGAAATCGCTGGGTTGATCAGTCGATGCATGAACGAAAACAATGCTCGCATAATCTTTCTGTCTCATAATTGCCTACTACAATTTTGAATGCCTCGAAGGGTGTTCATATAGTTGCCATTGTCGTCTCAGACATTTAAATCAGAACTGTGATTTCTTGTATGTAACATATGTAAGAAATGAATCATGCACGTGGTCAATCATAATGAGGGACCATATGTGTTACGGTATTAGTATTCTGCCATAGCTTTTCCTACCAATTGGGCGGCCCAAGCGCACTACGTGTGCGACTGGGATTTAACGGTCAAAGATATTTGACTTCGAGGAACCGTCATGTTTTTCTTGTTTTTGTTTTTATTTTTATTTTTATGACAAAATGAGTGATTATTTTTCTCTGGATTGTTGTGTGTTGAGTCTTTAAGTTAGAAAAAGTGGATTTCGCAATCGTTGTTTTGTCCATTGAACAAACTTTTAGCCTTTACCAAAGCTCATGGAACTCTGAAAAGAGATCTGAAATGCTTGTATGATCATTCTATACATTAAAAGGGAACAGAAGAAGTGATTTTGCAGTACTTAGGGTTAATGAAATTTACCAGATTATGTACTTATTGACTGATTGGGAGGGCTAGACAAGAAAATATTTGGCTTGAAGTCATGACATGCGGACCAAGCGCAGCAAATAAATTATTTTCCCATCCAGCCCACTCAAACTCAGTCAATACGAATTTTATCATATGACCAGTAAATGTTGAAAATCTCAAGCTAAATGTGGGCCAAACAGGTCATGTGATAAATCCAGTTATTTCTGATGAAATCAAAGACTAATTCCCACTTTCTTCTTTTTCAGGGAGGTGTACTTTGTAAGTGTTAGTCTATTTAAGCTTAGATGATCAGTTCATAATGGATCCAAATGATAGAAGAATTCAAAGAAGGTACTAACAATGCTTTAGCATTTTACACTCAATTTGTGGTTTGCCACATAGCTTTCAGATCCATTTTTATGAATAATTTAACTCTTTCACTCCTAAGATCTCGATCATTCATAACAATTGTTAGAAATTCTCCTCACTGTCTGCCGTACAATTCTTATGATATTTTTTTGGGAGAATTTGGTATGGAATCAACTAACTATCCTCTACAGTGTAATTAATTATTTACTCTATTCTCATCACTTTTCTGCTTGGTATAATAATGATGATAATTTAAGGAGAAACTGTGTCTTTAGTCACTCTTGGGGGTCAACACTTTAGCCTCCATGAGTGACCAAGAAATACCAAAATCTCCTTACTAACATCAGAACATCAGAATTTTTTGGCCAGATAATACATACATCTTATTAAACGGTGTGTTGTGTTGTATCGCTGAGTATTTTTTCACAAGTTTTTGGTACAAAATTTCATTAACGTCTAACTGTTTTTCTTTGTTTGATTTATCTTATAAACTTGAATCAACAGTTGCTGGCCATTCCAACTCTTCGTCCTCAGAAAAATAATTTAAATTGTCTGCCATTTTTTTCATAACTTCAGTCCTATTCATAGCTTGTGTGATGTGAGAAAACCTGTCTAACTGATTCTGTAGAGTTCAAATACCAAAAGATATTTGTACTTGTTTTGGGTGTTATTTGTACTCTTCAAAGCGCAGTTGGATAATAAAGAGAATTAACCGTTTGCTATAAGTTACAGTTTTTATTAGATGGGGATCTTCTTATAAAAGCTCAGTAGAGCTTACTAAGATCTCCAGCCATAATATTATTATAATAGCTTATTTTAGCAGGCATATAATTAAAGCTATGTAATGCAATGACAAAACAAATAAAGAGATTAAATTACTTAAAAAAAAATTACAAACTGAAATACTGGGAATGAAAGGGTTAAAGAATTTGTGATGTTATAATTTTTTAGGGACCTAACATTATTAATGGGGGAGCTAACATTATTAATGGGGGAGGGGGGGGGGCTGGTGGAAATTAGAAATAAACTTCTCAAAAAATTTAAGTCCTCCCCTTATTAGGGACACAGTTTCTATCCCCCCCCCCCCCATAATTCTTTAAATTAGTTTTTTTGCACTCAAAAAATGATCTAAGATACTATACCAAAACATTTTATGTAAACCAAAATGAAATGTTATGAAGAATACCATCGTACCTTTTTTAAAAGTGGTGCATAAGGAGATCAAAATGACAGAGGGGAAAACAGTGAATCTGAGGATGAAATACTTTAAACACGAAGGCGTGCTATATAAGGAAGTCGTCGTTGGGAAGACCTAGGCTCATTTGTCACTCACCGTTGACGTGTGCGGATCAAATTTAAATGCTGGTAGA